GATAAGAATTGCATTAGGTATTTACTTAGGTATGTTTGATTTTAATCTTAATAAAAGTTTCTGACGTCAATATTAAGAACCCTTAAGTTTATTTTTTAAATTAAAATGGTTATATTATTGAGAGAGAAATTCTCGTGGTAATCTTAGTAAAATTATATAAAGAATCAAATTACTGACAGAAAAATTAAAAATCGACATAATTCATATACCGTATTTAGAATTAATGAAAAAATGAACCAATCAGATTAGGTAAAACATTTTGGCATAAAAATGTTAGTCAAATGTTGCTACAATACGATGGTAAAAAGTATCGCACTCTATAATGCCAAAACATGAAGCTGGGCAGAATATGGCAAGAAACGATTGACAACGAAAACAGATGAAACAGATATGTGGCGGTGTGAAAACAGAAACAGAAAACGGACATAAAAACAGATTTGTGGCGGATGTAACGAGAAATTGTAAAAGACATAGTTACAAACATATATATAAAAGATACCATTGTACTCAAAAAGATAATCAATGGAACAACAACAAGAATTAAGGCGGTATGGACATATAGTCTGAATAAATAAGTCGCGACTCCCGAAAGCAGCGTGGAATAAGAAACTACTGAAGAAAAGAGAAATTCTCATCAACCGACACATGACTCTTCGTTTCCTCTGAAATGGAATATATGTATTTCCAGACTTATTATTATTTGCTCTTCTCCTTGACGCCTAACTTCGCTTATACCGGGATTATCCTATATTTGATCTATTTTAGTTCTTCGTCCAGATCTATCATTGATGCCTCTGTTAATAGAGTATTTATGTTTTTTATGATATATGGTGATGAATCAAATAATTTATGAAGTAAGAAAACGACACGCATACCACATGGAAGCACCTAAAATTACGATACTATGCTATGCCGACGATAAAGTACTAATTGCTGATAACGAAAATAACCTACAAAAGCAGCTCCACACCTTGAATATCACAGCAAACTTAATATGAGAATATCAGTAGAAAAAACTAAATGTATAGTGATCAGTAAAGATTCGCGTAGCTGCAGACTAGAAATAGTCGGCTCAATTATGGAATAAGTAATGAAATACAATTACCTAGGAGTAGAAATCACTAGTGACAGGTATATAAGAACACAGACCATAAGGCAAGCATCAAAAGCAGCAAGAGTAAGTGGTTGCCTCAGAGAAATCATATGGAGAAACAAATATCTGACCACGGAAAACAAAATGAAAGAATTCAAGACAACAGTAAGACCAATCATAACATATGCAGCGAAGACAAGGACCGATACAAAAAAGATGAAACAACAAATCAACAATATCGAAATAAAAGTATTAAGACCAATAGCGGGCATATCTTTAAGAGACAGACAAACCAACATAAGTATACGCGAACAATTCAAAATTCAAAACATTAACAGATGGATAAAAACAAAAAAAACTGGAAAGATCATGTAAATCGAATGGGACCAGATAGATTAGCAAACATAAGCCATATAGCAGGAGACATGTTGAAAGGCCGTTACGTTAAAAAGATGGAAAGATAATGTACAGTCAACAACGACTGAACCAGAATAAGAAGCAGACAAACAGGAGTAATCCTAGTCGCAAGAAGAAGAAGAAGACGATATATTCATTTGTCGGTTGTTATGGTGGACTGATTTTTTTCAATAATTGTTAGCACCTTTACTCCAACTCTGTTTTGACCGTTACCTTGGTCAAGGAAATTGGAACCGCTGAGGACTGAGAGCCGTACACTTGATATATCCAATCATGAGTGGAAATTTGGTCTTCAAACACCGCGATGGTTAAGCGTATTGGCGAATTTCCAGGCTGCAAGAAACAAGAGTTAGCCAAGAGAGGCTGATAAGAAAGACTTAAGACATTTCACTTAAAACAAGTTGAAAAAGAGTAAAATGTGACAGCTCTTATAATCTACTAGGTGCGTTTCATAAGCGTATGAGTATTGATACACTTTGTGTTTCCGCTTATATCTCAGGGTGATGAATATAGACTGTATAGCTCGTCTAACATGCCATAGCATAGAGGATGGACAGGAAATGGAAAAGGGAAAGAGAAGTAAAAAGGAAGAACCATAACAAGTTGCAGAACTAACATCAAGAGGCAATAAGCAAGAGAAACTTGTGATGGGTTTAGATAGTAGAAGATGAAGAAGTCTAGAGTACGAACAACGACGATAGTTGCTATAAAAGAAATGGATTCAGTGATACATATATATGGTCCGAAAGTCTGAAAACGTCTAAATAGTTCTTAAATGGATGATTAGAATTGTACAAAAAATACCTATTCTGCAATATGAAGATTTTAAATTTAATGCATGCTATTTTGTCAGATTTACCATTTTTCTAGATATCACCAGATATCACGTTAGTACAAGTTTAACCATATGTAACACTTAGTTTTTGATGTATTCACGATGGTCTTAAATAAATAAAACTTCTTAGTGCCAAATAGTTTTAAAGAAATTGAGTTAATGTAGAATGCTGTCATTTTGACATTAATTTATAAAATTAACCATAGCTTGAGGTTTATTAAAAAGTTTTGTAAAATAAATTATATTAGCCATCTTGTGAAGTATCCATCTTGTTCAACGCTACTCTTCCTTACCGTTCTCCCATCCATAGGTCGATGGTACAAACAATAAAGCGCTTTGAAGAAACTAAACAAGTAAAAGGTGGCGTTCGAACAGGTAGAATAAAAAATGTTATAAATTACAATATAACTTTAGATTTATGCATGGTTTCGATGAAGATCCACATACATACTGACTTAGAGCAGTACAAATACACGATGTAGGTCATTCTTTCAGTCTTGCGTGTATTATACAGTGGTGAGTGCTTTATCACCCGGCTTTTTAACGTAAGAGATAGAAAACACAGTTACCTTGTGAAATAAAAAGAGATGAAACTCGTAGAGGTGGGAAATAATCGATAGAAACCTATAATTTACATTACATTGCATTAACACTATCGATAGTCTCACACCTTTAAACGTTAGCTTCCAGCTAAATCACCTCGGTCATAATTATTATTTGTGACGTCGTATGTGTAACGTAATTTAGTAACATTTTTTTTAATTTCGCATAAAGTAAAAAATGATTGACCACAATAAAGCAAAAATGTGAATAAAATAAATTAATTAATAGTGATTATTTAATCTAAAGTTTTAAATTATTAACCAAAAATAATTTCTATGATTTGAGGAGTTTCATACACTCTTGTCACGGAAATAAACATCAGTCCTTCGTGGATTAGTGGTAAGAATTCGACACTGCGACGCAGACGATTAGAGTTCAAAATCCATATGTGGTTTTCTTTTTCTTTAATAATTTGAGATTATGCAAAGATCGTTTTGATTTGAATCACTAAACATTTATGTCAGTCGTTACTAGTATTAGAAGTTTGATGGTACACAAGGCAACATTTATTCGAACATTCAACCTTATATTGAGTATTAGAAGTGTTTAAAGTTACACATAAATATTTTTTTGAATTTGAATTATTTTGTATTTCCGTTTTATAACATTGGAATAAGAATAAATTGTAAATAATGAGTTTTTCAAAAACTTGTTACCTAATATGTTCTTACCAATCTTCTTGTCAATAGACCACGTGTCTAATAATTACACCAACTCCACATACAATAAATGTTTTCGGACAGAACATACCTACCTTTAGTTTATTCAAATATTTCAGTTGAGTTATTTTTATTATTAAATAAACTTAAAGATTTATAATTTAAAATCGCTACTAATTATTGTTTTTTACTTTAATTCTTAATTTATTCAACCATTTATTCTTACATCAGAAATTATTAAAATAAAATATTTTCGCGGTCATCCGTATAATTATGACTGAAGTCAAATAGCCACGTCTAAGAACTAGCTTTATCTCATTCTTTCTCACAAAATCCATCTTCTATCCTTTCCGCTATTGTGCCGGGTTTTAAAGCGACTTTAAACACTTCTAATACTATAATAACGTCCAAAGGTGTGAGACTATCGACGGTGGTAATGTAATGTAATGAAATTATAGGTTTCTATCGATTATTTCCCACCTTTACGAGTTTCATCTCTTTTTATTTCACAAGGTAACTGTGTTTTCTATTTCTTACGGTAAAAAGCCGGGTGATAAAGCACTCACCACTGTATAAAAATGTATTTAAACTCTGCAAAATCCAGTTGTTGCAAGTATTATTAAATGAAGATGACTAAGTCCAAAATTACAATGTAGTGAAAAGTAATTGAAAGTAATGTAGAATTTCGTTAACACGATATGTTCTTCCAAAGAATTTTTTACACTGTATGATAATCGCCAAAATTTTAGGTATTTAAGTAAGGTAAATCCACACTTTTTTTAAATATGTACCTTTATTTATTGTAATCTGTTATCACTATAACAATACACAATATGTTTGAAAGACAGAAAAAGTGACATAGTGGGAGCTACACCCAATAATGAGTACCCTTACTTAATTAGGCCGTTTTTATAGAAGCAAATTGAAAAAGCGACAATTATTATAAAATTCTGCTTAGAAATTGAGTTGTCCTGTAAAATAAGTTTTGAGCAAAATTTACTACGATATGGTCTCAGAAGGCTTCAGCTTATTTTGAAGTAAATGTTCGGCACTATTCAAATCAGATACTACTCGGACGATGGATTGGTAGATTAGGTGGTATAAAATGACCTCCTTATTCGTCCGATTTATTTCCTATAGATTATATTTATATATAATACTTAAAAAGTAGAATTTGTTAAACTAAACCAGCAAGTGTTGCAGAGCTAAGACAAAGAATTGCCGATTAATTTATATTAATTTCTAGATAAACATGAACACATGTACTGACGCGTTCTACCATCGTTTAGAATACTGTCAAATCAAGTTGACATTTAGCAGTATAATAAACTTTTAATTATTATATTCAAATTGAGTTTTTGTTTGTGTTTTTTGTGTGCAAAACAGAACTTACCTATACAATATCTGGGACCTTCTCCGAATGCCAAAAATGCGCAAGGATGTCTTTTTGCTCTATTTTCTTCACTAAACCTTTCAGGGTCAAACTTTTCTGGCTCAGGATAAATATCGGGATCATTGTGGATAGCTAAACCTGGAATAACAACTCGCGTGCCTTTTGTTATGGTAATATTTGTGTTTGGCACATTATAGTCCTTTGTACAAATCCTAGGTATAACAGGTCCAGGTGGATGCTTTCGAAGAGTTTCTAAAATAATAAATTATTTAAAATTGTATTAGCCCAAACTACTAAGTATAATCAACAAGTTTAGCAGAAAAAAAGAGGAAATCGAATTAGCGTTGAAAGGTATGAAGAACAGCAAATCACCTGGAGAAGATGGCATTGTAAGTAAAATGCTGAAGTTAGGAGGCGTTTGCATCATAAAAGCTTTCAAAACCCTTTATAATGCCTGCCCTTTTAAAGGAGTTACACCAGAAAAATGTATTAGTGACATTATGATAATATTGCACGAAAATGAGATGTAACAGAAATTGAAAACTACAGACCTATCAGCTTGTTATCTCATTTATATAAGCTTTTTATGAGAATAATTACTAACAGGCTGGAACCTAAGCCGGATTTTCACTAACTATTAGAGCAGGCCGGATTTAGGAGTGGCTTTGAAACGAATGACCACCTAGAAATAATTAAATCCTTAATAGAAAATGTTACAGAATATAACAAGCCATTGATGTTAATATTTGTAGAAAACGTTTGACTCAGTCCAGCATAGCTCCATGTTAAGAGCTCTTATAGAGTGCAGTATTGATCATAGGGACACGACCCTTCTTCAGAATTATATAATGGCGCAACAGCTGCAGTTAGAATATGTTATGGCAACACAAATACATTTCCCTTCGAGAGGGGTGTTACGCAAGGAGATACTATCTATTCTAAGCTATTCACCGCTTTGTTGCAGTGCTATGAGAAACAATAATTGGGAGAACATTGGAGTCAATATAAATGAAAAATTTGTGAACAACTTGAGATTTGCAGATGATATAGTCCTTATTTTAGACCGGGTAGATCATGCCTGCTAGCTTCTTCAAGACGTTTAGAGCTCGTGTACACGAGTTCGACTTTAAATTAATTTCTCCAAAAACACAATATATGACAACCTTGTAAGGCGAAAAACATCTCAACTAACGGCACGCAAATTGAACTGGTGTGTAGCTATAAATATCTGGGCCACGAGATTAAATTAGGAAGAGATAATTAAACAACGGAGCTAAACAGGAGAATAAGACTGGCATGGGCGGCTTACGGAAAACTGAGAGAAATCTTCAGATTAGATATTCCCATGTGCTTGAAAAGGAAGGTCTTTGACCAATGTGTTCTGCTCCAGTTCTAACGTATGAAGCAGAAAGTGTTTAGAAAGCATTGTAATTATTTACGGGAGGCCTATGACCAGCAGTGGACTCAAAACGGCTGATGATGATAATAGCAGAAACACGTATGCTTATTAAAACATTATTAATTTTTATTTTTATTTATTATTAAAGTTTACTCTACTTACCAAATATTACTTTTTCCGCATATTCCATTTTCATCACTGCTTCGTAACTTAGTTCTCCATCATGATCTTCCAAAACTGTAATAATTTCCTCTCTTAGCTTTTCCTGAATATCTGGATTTAAAGCTAACTCTAACATTGCAAAAGATAACGTTGTAGCAGAAGTTTCAAACCCGGCAGTAAAAAAGACAAAACATTGAGCCACCAACTCGTTAAAACTAATAAAATCTTCTCCAATCTGTTCCCCCTCTTCGCTGATAATTCGTTTATCATCCGATAGTTTACCCCTGTTTTTAAGTTGTAGTAACAAATGCATAAAATCTTTTCTATATATATTATTGGCTTCTCTGTATTTTACAGTACCACCCACCATACCGTAGAAAAAGTTCTCTATGTTAGCATTCATGAATTTAAAGTTAATAGCTTTCAAAAACCGTTTGGGAAACAAGAATATCGCTGCCTCCTTTAAACGTTCCCTGGGAGAGACAGCATCAAACATTTTGTATGCTATGTCTATAATTTCTGATTCGTTTTCTTCTAATGAGTTGGAGTTAAGGCCAAAGGCAACCGAGCTAATGACGTCAATGGTGAAACGCATAAACAGATCCTTAATGTCCACGGCGTCTTGAAGTTCGGCATGCTTCTGCAATCTATCTTTAATTCCAGCAGAACATGAAAATAGTGTGGGGTACATCATCTTAATTTTACCTAAAACAAAAATAAATAAAATAAATAGAAAATTCCACTAGGTGGTATAATAAAGGACCAATAAATACAGAAATGCATCACCTGTAAACTGTACTGATCCCGCGTATACCGATGATTCTTTCTTCTTCTTTCAGTGCCTATTCGTTCCGAATATTGGCAATCATTCTGGCTATAATTATTTTATTGACTGATGCTTTAAATAGATTCGTTGTTGTTGTGGAAAACCATTTCCTCAGGTTGTTCAACCATGATATTCTCCTTCTCCCAATTCCTCGCTTTCCGAATACTTTACCCTGTAGGATTACCTTCAGTAATCTGTATTTAGTGCTGTTTCTCATAATATGTCCGAGATATTCCAACTTTCTCCTTTTAATGGTATACATCACCTCTCTTTCTTTTCCCACTTTTCGTAATACGGTCTCGTTGGTTATCTTGTCTGTCCATGATATCCTTAGAATTCGCCTGTATAGCCACATCTCGAAGGCTTCAAGTTTTTTCTCCATTGCTTCAGTTAGTGTCCAGGATTCAACTCCGTAATACAATATTGAGAAGATATAACATCGTAGGAGCCTTACTTTTATCTCCAGATTAAGATTGTGGCTTTTAAAGAGTTAGGCCATGTTATTGAATACACTCCTAGCCTTCTCTATTCTACATTTTATTTCCTGTGAGTGATCCCATTGTTCATTTACTGTTGTTCCAAGATAGTTATACTGTTTTACTCGGTCCACTGGTGTATTATTGATAAGTAGTTGAGCGTCTCTAACTTTATTTTTGCTGATGATCATAAATTTAGTTTTTGTTATATTTACTTGAAGTCCAAATCTTTCACTTACTTCATTTACTTTGTTTATTAGTTGCTGTAAACCGTTCAAACTGTCTGCAAAAATAACGGTGTCGTCTGCATAACGAATGTTGTTTAGGCGTTCTCCATTTAGAAGTATTCCATGTTCGCATTTTTCCAAGGCTTCACTAAATATTTCCTCTGAATATAGATTAAATAATATAGGTGAAAGTATACAACCTTGTCTAACGCCTCGTAGAATCTGGATCATTTCCGTTGGTTCACCTCCAAAATTCGTTCTTATTGTGGCTGATTGGTTCCAGTATAAATTTTGTATTATACGCCGATCTTTATCATCCATTTGGGCTTTTGTTAGAATATCCATCATTTTTTGGTGTTGAACTGTATCAAATGCTTTTTGGTAGTCCACAAAGCAGGTGTAAATATCGCAAGTCATATCTCTGCATCTTTGAAATAATACTTGTAGACTAAACAGTGCATCTCTTGTACCTACGCCTTTCATGAATCCAAACTGTGTGTCTTGTATTCTCTCTTCGCATAGCTTGTATATTCTACGATGTATAATTTTAAGAAAAAGTTTTAATGTATGGCTCATTAGACTTATTAGCCTATATTCTCCGCACTTTTTTGCTCCCTGTTTTTTTGGTAAGGTAATAAATTCTGAAAGTAGCCAATCTTTTGGGATATTGCCTGTGTCATAGATATTATTGAAGATTTTACATAGTACTCTTAAAGATTCATCATCAAGAAGTTTAAGAAATTCAGATTGTACTCCGTCTGGTCCTGGAGCTCTACCTTCTTTTAGTGATATTATGGCTGCTCTTATTTCTGCCACTAGTATAGGTGGTCCTGTTTCCGTAGGTATTGGGGCTGGTTCTCTCTCTCATCAAAAAATAAATTTCTTATGTAATTTTTCCTGGTATCATTGATACTCTCTTTGTCCACGATTATCTTTCCATTGTCATTAACAAGTTTACTTATTCTTCTGTTTTTACATTTACCTGTAATTTCTCTTACCTTTTTATGCACGTTGAAGTCGTCGTATTTACTTTGGTGAATTTCGATTTCTTGGCATTTTTTTCCAGTTCTTTCTGTTTGGCTTCTCTGATCTTTCTCTGTATCTCTCGCTGTAATGTTTTATACATGGAGTTATCGTTCTTGTTTTTCTTTCTTTCTTCCATTAGTTGCAGAATCTCTGTCGTCATCCATGTCTTATTCTTACCTTCTTCGTTCTTCATAAAATTGTCTTTAATGTCGTCTATTGTTTTCTTAAGGGATTCTATCTTATCTTCTGTGCTTTCCGTTGTATTATCGATTTCTTTAAATTTTCTATTTAATGTTTTGCTGACTATTTCTTTTACTTTGCTACATTTCAGTTTTCTCATGTCATGTTTTTTTACAGTTTTTCCGCGTATTTTCTTTAGCTTAGTTCTATACACGCCCACTAAAGGATTGTGGTCAGATTGAATATCAGCGCCTGGGTAGGTTTTAACACTGTTGAAACTATTTCGATATCTTTTGTTAACAAGCATATAGTCTATTTGATTTCTAATAATAACGTCTTCTCCGTTGTCTCTAGGTGATTTCCACGTATACAGGCGTCTAGGCGGTAGTTTGTAAAATGTGTTTAGCACGATTAAGTCATGCTCAGCTGCAAAGATACTCATTGTTTCTCATACCGATGATTAAAACGCATTTACCATTAGATTTTAAACGTGCACAATTTCCCATGCGTCTGGCCTTTGGGATGACCATAAATAAATCGCAATTATTTTAATTATTATACACAAAACAAAACAAAAAATATAGTATATCAGAAAGCTTTAAATTGATTAACAGACTGTATCGTAAATGTGTGTGTCGTGTATGATAGAATAAAATATAAATGGGCAAAATTTAGAAATAGGTATAAATAAAATAAGTTTTGTTATCAATATTAAAAAAAATATATAAAAACCAAAGACAGAACTTACCGGAAGTGAAAGTTTGTGATAACTTCTTTCTTAACATTCTCCATCTATCATTCTCCAAACTAAACAAATGTGCTGTGATTGGTTCACGTTCTTCGTCGTGGTATATACCATGGTTCATGAAATGTTCAAAATTATTCTGCAAAACGTTCTTCACGATGTCCAAATCTACAGGCATATAAAGCGGAAGAAAAAAGAAAAAAAGTCCTCCATGTTTGAAACCTTTGGCCTTCATGTCATTGTAAATATTCTTGAACGTGTCACCCATTGACACTCCGTGCAACAAACTAATCGTGTTTCCAAAGAAGTATAATGGTTTGAGATATTCCAGTCCTATTCTTGACCAATATGAATAGTTCCATTTTAAACATAAATACAGTGATAATGTCACCACTGTTGTGTACAACAAAACTGTTAAAATATCCATGGTACTTACGGTGATGCACTAGTGCACAATGGCTAACTTAGATTATAAAGGACCTTAGCTTAATTCTGCAGCCTAATATATGTTTCTCTAATCAGTTTAATTAAATCTGAATTGAATTATAACTGATATGCAACCACAAAAAAAATAGATAGTCTTTTATCATGAATGAACAATTGAAAAAGAAAAAATGTAAGCAAGGTGAAATTGTAGATAAGAAAAAGTGAGAAAGACTTCAAACTGTGTCTTCAAACCAAACAAATTTTAATAAAAATTATATTTGTGTTCTTATATATTGTATTTCCTTGTATAAAATGTTAAGTGAAAAAGGAGTCCTAAGAAAATAGTTTCGAAGATATGTTCAAAACATTGTTATTCAAAAAGTTTACCAGACTACGTGAAGTAATTTTCTGGTTTCGATACCTTTTTACTCTTTAATATGGCGTGTATTCCATGTTAGTTTTTTAAATGCATACTCAAGAACGGTAATGAACAGCTTTGGTGACATGGTATCACCTTGCCTGACTCCCCTTTTTATCTTTATTTTATTAGTTGCAGAATATAGACTTATGGTTGTTGTGGCATTTTCATATATATTTTTGATTATATTACAATATCTGTGGTCGATCCTGCAATCTTGTAGTGCTCTTAAGATTGACGGGAGTTCCACTGTATCAAACGCCTTTTTAAAGTCTACAAATATCAATGCCAAGGGACGGTTATATTCGTTAGTTTTTTCTATTAGGGTTTTTAGGCACTGCAGGTGATCGTTTGTGCCGTAATTAGGGCGGAAACCAGCTTGTTCCCGAGGTTGGTAAAAATTCAGCTTTGTCTCTAATCTATTCGTTATTATTCGGGTGTATATTTTATAAAGATGGTTAAGGAGACTGATTGGTTTGTATCTTTCCAGGTCTGCTATATCTCCCTTTGTGTGTAAGAGTACAGTTATTCTTTGTTGAGATATTTTGATTCCATAGGCATAGATGATTCCAAGACATAGTATATCATCTAAAAAGAGGTTAAAAGAAAGTGATATTGGAAAGAAATGCTAAACGAAAACTTGTTAATTTGTATAAATACCTTTCTAATTTTTAACATAAAAAACTAAGCGCTAATAGCACAGCTATTAAATGTGGCTATATGAGAATAAAAAATTTTCGTGGACTTAACTAATCACCAATGAAGTATTATTTAAAAAGAATTGTATACAACCAATAGATAATTGATCGATACACATAAAATAAAAAAACGGTAATATTTAGGCTGTTAATAAGAAATCCAGATAATAACACACACCTACATTTTTTTTATTTTTGTTATATAACAAAAATCATAGAAATAAAAAATGAGAAAACTGTCACCGTCCGAGACAGAAAGGAAATAAGCGAGGCCATTGAAAAATTCTACACTAAATTATACTCGGTAAATACCATCGAGCAAAAAGACAAAAGAGGGAATCTAATCGTTATGAAAAGGAGACCAAAAAAGTGGCCTCTGATGGCGGACATATCCGGAAATGCAAAGGCGCTAAATTTAAATTTTCCGACACTTATTAACAATAGCTATAAAATATTTTTCAGACGAGAAAGTTTTAATTAAATATTAACGATATTAGTCTAAAAAGGGACACAATTGGTAAAAAAACTTCAATATAAATAAAATTTCATGTGACAGTTGGGACAAACAATAACATAACCAAACTAAATTTGATTTCTTAAGCAAGGAAGGAGACTGTCTTTCCTTGTTTAAAGTGGCCTCTCAAGATAGCACTTCCTGTCTAACAATATTTTTGTTCCCACTACCTTTACATTCCCTCTTTTGTCTTTTTGCTCGATGGTAAATACACAAGCACAACAACGATGTACTGAACGAACAATAATTAACACCGGCTCAGAAGAAATACCGTACATAACCGACTATGAAATAAGAATGGCCGTACATCAATTAAAAACGAATAAATGTCCGGAAGAGGATAAAATTACAGTTGAAATGTTGAAAATTGGTGGCGGAAAAATGGAACCTGAATTAAATATTTTATTTAATGAAATAATTGATGAAGGAAAGATTCCTCAAGAATGGTACAACTCCGAAGTCATTTTACTATTCAAAAAAATAGACAAAGCAAATATCTAGAATGACCGACCAATATCCTTGCTATCACATCTGTATAAATTACTAACTAAAATCATAACCAACCGCCTGACACATAAGCTCGATTTCTATCAGTCTATCGAGCAGGCTGGATTCAGAAAACCTTTTACTACCATAGACCACTTGCATACCATAAGAACAACGTTAATAGAAAAATGGACCGAGTATAATGTTCCAATTCATATGGCGTTCGTCGATTTCCATAAAGCATTCGATTCCATCGAATTATGGGCAGTGCTTTTAAATCTCTAGAAAATGCACGTATAGATTTAAGATACACTAAGATAATTAAAAATCTATATACACACCATGTAGATAAAGCTGGACGAAAGCACAAAAACTAATCCCATAAGACTACAACGAGGAGTAAAATAAGGAGACACAATTTCTCCCAAACTATTTACCCTTGCTCTAGAAGACATTTTTAAGAAACTAGAATGGAACAGCACGGGTATCAACGTTGACAAATCAGACTAAAACCACTTGAGATTCGCAGATGACATAGTTTTAATAGCCTATAATATCTAATAACTAAATGATGTATTACAACCATTAAATGCAGTTTCAGGAGCAGTAGGGCCGAGCCGAAAAATACTGAGCCGAGACTACACAAATATAGCAATAAAAATTCATACCACAGAAAATATTGAACATTATGTATATCTAAGTCATGTCATCAAACTAGGAAAACCAAACCAAGATGCTGAAATTAAAAGAAGAATACAACTGGCATTGGTCGCTTTCGGCAAACTAGCATGAAAATGAAAAGCTGAAAAACACCTCCATTCCTGTAAACTAAAAAAAAAGTGTATAACACATGCATACTACCAGTTTGTACCTACGGCTTGGAGACAGTAGGCCTTACCAAAAAATCTGCTAAAATTTAAATAAAAATAAAAAAATAAAATTAGAAACAACGCAAAGAGCAATGAAACGAATCATGCTTGGAATATCACTGAGAAAAAAGATTAGAAACACCGAGATAAGACGTAGACCGAAGATTAGGGATATCTTCTTCTTTGGGTGCCGTCTTCAATGAAGGTTGGCGATAACCTCAGCAAAATCATTTCTGTCCCTGGCTTTTCTTATTAAAGATTGAGAATCCAAACCAGTCCACTCACGAATGTTCTTCAACCAGGACGCCTGCCGTCTACCAGGACCACGTTTTCCTTCTACCTTCCCCTCTATAAGAAGCTGCAGTAGCTGGTATTTCTCATTTCTGTATATGTGTCCCAAATATGAGGTTTTCCGTGTTTTCATTATTTTTAAGAGTTCTCTGTCGGTACCCATCTTGTGTAGGACCTGCTCGTTGCTCATATGCGCTGTCCAAGGGACTTTCAGCATCCTTCGAAATAACCACATTTCAAAACTTTCCAAACACCTTAGTGAGTTGATTTTGAAGGTCCAGGCCTCCATTCCATATAGTAAGGTGCTGTAAACGTAACATTTCAGCATTCGGTATCGGATTTTGAGATTGAGTGTTTGGGACGTAAACATTTGTTTCATTTTTAAAAAGACATTTCTTGCTTGTTCAATTCGCGATTTTATTTCTATGTCTGGGTCTATATCTTTCGTTATCCAGCACCCTAGATATCGAAATTTCTCGACATTTTCGATAATATTACCATTCACGTTTAAAGCCATAGGTGGATGGATGGATGTTTTGGAGACAATCATTGTTTTTGTTTTCTTGACGTTAATGCTGAGGCCGTATTGTTCTCCGATCGATCTGACGCGATCTAAGAGTGTCTGGAGATCCTGTGCGCTCTCTGCAATTAGGACCGTGTCGTCGGCGTATCGTACATTATTTAGAACTCTGCCGTTAATTTTAACACCTTCTCTTGATTGCTCTAGTGCTCGTGCAAATATTTCTTCCGAATATATATTGAAAAGTAGTGGTGACAATACACACCCCTGTCGTACACCTCGCTTGATATTGAATATTTCTGTGTCACCGGCTTCTGTTCTAACTGCTGCAGTTTGGTTAAAATACAGCGTTTGGATAATTTTAAAATCGTTCTCGTCTAGTCCCTTTTTGTGAAGGCAATCCATCAGCTTATCATGTTTTACTTTGTCGAAGGCCTTTTGATAGTCAATAAAACATAAAAAGAGATCCTTTTTTTGGTCTCGACATTTTTGCAGCAGTATAATAAAACTGGTTAATGCTTCCCGTGTCCCAAATCCATTTCGGAAGCCAAATTGTTCATCACTGATATCCTGTTCACATTTCTTATAAATGCGTTGGTGAATAACTTTCAAGAATAACTTTAACATATGCGACATTAAACTAATAAGTCTGAAATCACCACACTTCTTTGCTCCCTTAGTTTTTGGAAGGGGAATAAAGACTGATTTTAACCAGTCTTGTGGAATTTCACCGCTTGTATATATTTGATTAAATAATTTGACGATTATATTTAAATGTTTCTCTTCCAGTAGCTTTATGACTTCCGTATGTATGTCATCGGGGCCAGGGGCTTTCCCATTTTTTGCGTTTTTGATTGCTCTCTCTACTTCTTGTTTTAATATAGGAGGACTGGTTTCATGGTTTTTATATATTATGTTGTTTAGTGGTGTGTCCGAGAATAGTTCTTCTATGTAATGTCCCCATACGTTGTTTAGATCGCTTAATTCCCATATCGTTTCATTCTCGTCGTTTGTTAATCTACAAGGGAGTCTTTGTTTTGTCATTCCAGCTAGATCTTTTATTTTTTTGTGAAGCGTTTGACTGTCATGTTTCTTTATTAATTCTTCGATCTCTTGGCAGTTTTCTATCATCCAATTTTCTTTTGCGGTAGCTATTTCTTTCTTGATTTGACGATGTATCTCCCTATATTTTTCATTATCTTTAT